ATAAAAAATAATCTCTATAAGATAATATTCTTAAATCTTCCTACTAGAACTACTAGTAATAACTAGCTACCTATAGTAAATAATCCTACTAAGGATCTACTAGAGAATATAAGATAAGTCTTTACTAGGTTATTTAAGATAATAGCTTAAGAAGTACTACTTACTAATATTAATATATTTTTTAGAGTATTTATTAAAAGTAATATAATAAATAAGTACTATCTCTAGGATTATAAAAGATAAATTATTATTATAAATTATTACTTATTTTTAAGATCTTAAATTTTACTCCTATCTTAGAGTATAAAGATATATATATAAGAGATACTAATTAAGAATAATAAAAGAGAGTTAAGAAATATTTTAAAGATATTTTACTAATAATAAGAAGAGTTTCCTCTAATCTAGAATATTTTATTATTATTAAGTAAAAACTTATAGGATATACTTATAAGAGATAAAAAGTAGATAAAACCTAATTATAGATTAATCTTATATTAATAATTATTAATATAAAAATCTTTTATATATAGCTACTAAAGAACTTTAAGAAATATAATATAAATAATAAAATATAAAAGAAATATAAAAGCCTTATCTAAGGTCTATAACTTATATAGCTATATATTACTATCTTAGATAAAGCTATAATATATATCTCTCCCCTAGTATATAAAGCTTTTCTTATTTAAAAATTTATTATTAGGAGTTAACCAGAGCTTAGGAAAAGATAGATAAAGAACTAAATATAATTATAAATATATAATAAAGTAGTTAAATACTTCTCCCTTTATAAGAATAGCTTAGCTACTACTTAATAACTTAGAGGTAATCTATAATTAAAACTATAATTTAATTAGTATAATAAAAATTTAATAAATCTAAATATAATTACTAGCTCTTCCTAGCTAAAGAGAAACTTCCTATAACTAAATAAAAGTTTATTAAAGTAGAAACTATAGTATTACTAGAATAAAATATATTTTATATATAATAAAACTAAATATCTTTAATTATACCTCTTAAAGATAATAAAAAATAAGAAAGATTAATAAATCTAAAGATACTTATTAATTAAATAAAGAAAGTCTCTAACTACTAAAATATATAATATAATCTCTTTAAAGATAGGAAGAAAGAATTACCTAAGAAGAGGAATCTCTAACTATTATAAAGAATTATTAAGGTATATCTAAATATAATAGGTATTAACTTTATATATTATATAATAAAATTATAAAATAAGAGATAAATAATTTAGATTAAGACCCTTATTAATTATAAAGCTAGTTATTTATTTATATTATAAATAATTATTAGTTATCTTAGTATAATAGAGCCTCCTTATAGTAAAAAGAAAATACCCTTAGTTATATAACTATTAAATAAAGCTATAATAAATACCTACTAATAAGTAAGGATACTAATATAAATTAGGTAATAGACTAGTCTTACTAAGTTATAGATTCTAGATACTAATAAATATAAGGTAATCTTAGGTTATAACTAGCTAAAAGTTACTAACCTATAAATTAACTAATAATTAGACTAGATAATCCTTTAAAATAAGAGAAGAATATATTTTATCTATCCTATTAACCCCTAATATAAGATTAAATATTATAAAGATAACTTAGTATAATAGGTAACTATAAAATAACTAAAGTAGACCTTATAAAAAGAAAAGTTAATAATATAATTATACCTCCTTTAAACTAGTAAAAAAAAATTAATAACTATAAATTATAATAAATAAATAAAAGACTTTAAGAATATATTCTAAGAAGAACTTAACCTAGGAATACTACCTACCTAAGGAGTAGATTATATTATTAATACTAGTAAAACTAACTAATATAAATACTTACCCCTAATTACTAGAGAAGTTTAAGGAAACCTACTACTAAGTAGAAGAACTACTATAAAAGAGAGTAATCTAAGCCTTAATAAATTAGTAGGGTTTATTAGTAGTATTAGTCCTAAAGCTAGGAGGAAAATAATAAATATATATAGATTATTAAATATTTAATAAAGTTATTATTAAGAATATTTATCTACTTCCTAGAATTTAGGAGTTAATTAACTAAGTTAGTTAGGTAAAGATCCTATTAAAAATTAATCTTTTTTTAGGGTATTAGTAATTATAAATAATAGATAACTTAATTACTAAGATAGTATTTAATACCTTCTTTAGGAAATATAAGTTTCTTATAATACTATTTAGACTCTATAATATACCTATAATATTCTAGATATATATAAATAGTTAACTATAAGATCTCCTATATATAGTAGTATATCTTAATAATATCTTAATATTCTTAGTGAGTAAAGAGAAACATAAATAATATATATAAGAAGTCCTTATCTAATTATAGAGGAACTAGCTATTTATAAAAGCCTTAAAGTATAAATTTAGTTAATAAGAAATTAAATTCTATAGGTATATTATTAGAGGAGGAACTATAAAGCTAATACTAACTAAGATAAAAGCTATTATCTAATAATTAAAACTAAAAAATATCTATAAAGTATAATAATTTCTTAGACTTATAATATATTATTATTAGTTTATACTAAGATTTATATAGATTATAGCTACCCTCTATAATCTACTAAAGAAGTTAGATAAAGATCTTTAGAAGAAGAAATTCTATCTAATTATCTAGATAGTAAGATACTAAGATATCTTTACTAACTTAAAAGAACTAATAATTACTATACTAATACTAATAATTATAGACTCTAATTAACCTTATTAAATTAAGATTAATACCTTAGAATAAGTAATAAGAATAATTTTAATATAGGAAGATAAGAACTATAAACTTTACTTAATTATATTTAATAGAAGAAAGCTTAATAGTATAGAAAGGAACTACCTAATATAAGAGAAGGAGTTATTTATAATAAAAGAAGCTCTTTAGAGATAAGACTACTATATTAATAATAAAAAAATAATAATAGTAATAACTAATTATAAGAGCCTTTAATATCTTATAAATATAACTAAGTATTTAAAGTAGCTTACCTAGTAGATAGAAGAATTCTAAAGTTATAACTTAGAAATCTATTATTAAAAAGATAATAAAGTAATAATACTAGATATAATTAGCTAATATCCTAACTTTATAAAAGAAGGGCTAGGTAATATTACTAAAAGAACTTTACTTAATATACTAAAAGTATAGGAGATAGTAGAGATAAGATATTTTAAAAGCCTAAATAACCTTATAGAGTATAAATAATATAATGCCATAGTAGAATACCTAGAGCTATAGATCTTACTATAGGATAAAAGAAAGTAGGAGCTTATACTAATAATAGCCCTATTTTTTAAACTAAAAAAAGAGATACTATACCTCTTACTAAATTAAATTATAGGTAGATAATA